ATTGTTCCCCTACGCAAACACATTCAGGACAGACTGTTCAATTGTAATGTCATGCATAAGAAATGAAAAGTCTAGATGTAAGAAGAACAGAGGTAAACAAAGTCTCGGCATTTTAAAGGAAGGAGTAGCTGAAGAGTTGTTGTTGTATCCCCATTCTAGTCTGCAACAGCAGCAGGACGGGAACAAACGTACTACCAGAGTCGCCACTTAGGAGACAAATTCAGTGAGGATTGGCAGCATGTTCCTGTCAAACAAGGTGAGTTACATCTGAAGTAATTGTACTTCTCAAAGGGGATGGCTGCATTGCTGCTGTGGGGTTTTGTTTTGTTTTGGGGTTTTTTGAGGATTTCATGCTTGGGTCAACTGACTTGAACTCATAGGACTTGTATTCTGAGGCTATTAATGCCAGGGTAGATTCTTCTACCAGGGCTGGCATGTTTTCAGAGTCCAAACTCCATCCTACTCAGGAACTGTCTATCCTGCTATTTTTTAGTACTGTAGTGCAAGCCCTGTGAGCCTGAGTCAGTTAACCCAGGCTCAAAACTCACTGCCATGGGGTTTTTTTTCAGTGTAGACATTATATGGGCGCCAATCATAGATGCAAATCTGACTGGGCAGATTGGGAGCATAAGGTGAAAATCTGATACATAGAAAACTCGCAGCAAGACACAATAGTCAATTGTTAGTTTCTCTCCTTCCTTAAAGTGAATTTTAGCATCTGTGTTTGTGAAAGGTATTAGATAAACAGCTCTGGGAATTGAAATCCAATATATAGCCTGAGAATGAAAACATAAACATGCATGCACACACACTCCCGCACTAAGTTTTCAGCCATGATTTTGGTGTGCTTTAATTTTTGGCTGCTCAAGTTGACATGTCTTTAAGCAGTCTGAAAATCTGACCCGTTGGCAGTGTCTCTAGTTGGGTCCTACAAATCAAATCAGTCAAAAAGAACCAATGGTGGGTGGGGTGTGTGTGTGTGTGTGTATGTGTGTGTGTGTGTGTGTGTGTAAGAGAGACAGACAGACACCCTCCCCCAAGGGTATATTCTGGACTGGTGAATAGTTGTCTCATCCTTGCTTTCTAACCTTTACACTTCTTTGCTGTTGCCTCCACTCCTGGACTGTTTACAAACAGCCTCTAGCATGTAAGACATTCCCAACTATGTCTATGTACACTTGCAACCTTCTAGTCACACTCAGGCTTTCTCTAACCTGATTTATACTTCAGGATAGCCCCCCCCCTCACCCCCACACACCCAGTCCTAGGCTTTTCCCCAGAACTATTCATCTTGTATTGTCTCCTCCTCTCCTGGACAATATAAGCTCATACAAAGTTCATCATTGTATAAACAGAAATGCTATATACAAATCTTCAAATGGAGTTTCATAAACACTTCTATTCAAACTAGATAAAAAATAAAGCACATTTATTAGCCATATAGAGCTAGGAATACAAGTAATGAGGCATATACTGGTTATAAAAGAAATAAAGATGAAATGCAGCAAGTGGTTAATGAACAATGTTAAATTCAATGCAAAGTTTCTCTCACCACATGCTCTCAATACTCTTGCTGGCCAAATTTCTAGACCGGGATCCTGTCCTCTGTGTAATGGCTGCTTCCTTTGCTTCTTCTGGTGAAGTCAATCGATACACAGAGAATAAGAGAGGAGAAAAAGGAGAGATATCTTGGGGTCTTTGTCCCTCATTTTTATAGTCACTCTCCCTCTTTGAAAACATTTTCAGCTGAGATTCAGGAGTCAAAAAAAATCTAAGGGGAGGATATCTCCTGCTGGTTTTCCCATTGGTACTCCCTTTGTTCTTGATAACTCTATTTTCTGCTTAAATGCAAATTAAGCAGAGCACTCAGTTTTTTGTCTGAGACAGTCCTGTTTGCCAACATATGTTTGGGCAGGGCTGCTGTTTGGAACATGTGTTAATAACACTATAGAGTGGAATCTTATAACTTTATACATGATATAATTCAGGACAATACTGACCAGTGAACTGAGTTTTAAAATGATATCTTACAAGGCACACTTTGTACAAAGATTATTACAGTGATGTGCAAAGGGTGAATACAGGGATACAACCAGACCATCTTAGTGTCTGTGCATGCACATGTGTGCATTTATGAGCTTAGCATAGCAAATTATTTGTAACAATTATTGATTCATACAATTTTTCTGTTTTGCTTCTTGTGAATGTCATGAGCAAATCATAATATTCTGAACTATATGCATTATTCAGAATTATGAAAATGTCCCTCATTTAACTAGTTTGCAGTATTGTTGTAGATATTTGATATTTAAATACCAAAACTAATGCTGTGTTAGTTGATTACTAAAATCAGATTGGCTTACTCCAGTTCTCTGATCGCATGACATAAGTAACTAACCAATGCTTCACCAGTTTTGAAGATTCAATCAAATACAGCCAATATTCAAGCTTTAAAAGCACCTTTCTCTGTATTTATGTAACTAAAGAATAGGCAGAAAGTGAAGACAAAAGGGCCACAAAACCAGTGAAATCAAAACTCAGTTTGAATTTGAATAAATATTCAAGGATGAATAGTCCTGAAGCACCTTAGAGACTAACAAAAAACATTGATGGTATCATGAGCTTTCGTGAGCACAACCCACTTCTTCAGATGAATGGAGTAAAGGGGTTCAGGGTACAAATAAATAGCTGAGAAAGAGAAGGGATGGGAAGAGAAAGAAAAAGAGAAAAAATGGGGAAAATATTGTCAATTAGAGTGTCCATGCTAAATGAAGCTAATAGAGTGGGTTCTATGTACCCGGTACTTAGCTTTTTATGTCATTAGGGTTTGGAATGTAGTAGCCCAGTGTTTCTCAACCTTTTTTTTTATAAAGTACCCCTTTTTAAAAAAATTATAAGTACCCCCAGTACCTACAGTTTTCAGAGACACACAAAATTTTTCTACCATTCCAACATATTTGTTTAGACAATTTAATCGTAGCTGGGAGGGCAGTGAATTTTTTGGCGTAAAAAGTACAAAAATAATAAAGCACTGTAAAACTTAAAACAAAAATTCAGTTTTCTCCAAATTTCAGTTGTGTTGATGTACCCTCCAGGCTTCTCTCAAGTATCCCTGAGGGTACTTGTACTACTGGTTGAGAAACACTGTAGTAGCCCATCTTCATTCAGACCTCGTTTCCAAGTGTTAAACTTGTAAATGTAACCAAGTTCTGCAGCTTCTCTCTCAAGTTGGTTTTTTAAATTGCTTTGTAATAATATAGTCACTTTTAGATCCATTAGGATGATTTTTGCATTGTGCCAAGCTCTAATAGACAGACATATTGTTTGTCTTTTCATTTCTCATTCCAGAGACTGCTGAGTCTACACTTTGATTAGTGATACCTCCTGTGTTATTTTAAACAATGCTGATTTATCCTTCCAAATGTTCTTACAGAGAGGGGGAAAATAAGTCTTTTGAATTTTCCAGGGTCCTTAGACATTTACAGTGTCCCAGAAGGGAAGCTGCAGGTAACCGTAACAGGAGAGGTCCCTGCTTATGTGAACACCCAGCATATAAATATGGAAGCTCTACTCCCGCTTCAGGCAGATGCTGAAAGTATATTCAGTGGAACAAAAGACTATACCAAAGACAGTAGTCCAAGAAAAGATCTGTTTGATATGAGTGAGTTCCCTTTCATCTCTCACTTCTAATGACAGATGCTACATAATTAGTCTTTTATTTTGAGCCAACAGAAGTGTCATTTATGCATACCTAGGATGGTTTGAATTAATGAAGGTGGTCTGTCTCTTTCTGAGTTTGAAATTAAGGCTTCTTATAGTTTCGAAGCTAAATAAATATAAAAGGTGTTAACTTGCACCTACATTAGGAAAAAAGTTGGGATTGGGTAACAAATGTTAACTCATACTGACCTAATATGAACCTCTTTTCATAATTTAGTCTATAAACTCATGAGCTCATTAATGTATGTAATGAAAGATTGGGGATCTTTGTTAAATTAATACTCTGTTTTGAAAAGAGAGTGGATATCTTTGTAATATACTTGACTATGCAGATGATGCAATTTAAAATTAAGTTATTCTAACTGGACAGACAATAAGAGATCTCCAGTCCTGTCCAGAATATAGAAATACCAGCTGCCTACAAATATATGACCATTAGCAATTACTAAAAAATAAGTCAAAATTGGCTCTGATTTTTAATATATTTGTTTACAAATAATGTTCTCCATACATTAATGGGATTAGTCATACATGTGCTGTGTTTTTCTTAAAGGTACATGAAAGTAGTTTAAAAAAAAAGGGTTGACTAGAGTTATATTGTATTTTTTTTAATGCAGTTTACCTGTGAGTGATCTTGTACTTGTTTCTCTACCTGTAACCAGAACCTTTTGAAGATGCTCTTAAGAACCAAACCACGGGGTCTGTGCTGAATAAGGCTACCTCGGTCGAATGTACCAGTCCATTATCTAGAGCAGCTAGTTGTGGTATAATGGATGAGCTGAATACAGAACCTTGGTATCAAGGAGAGATGAGTAGGAAAGAAGCGGAACAGCTGTTAAAGAAATGTGGAGACTTCTTAGTCAGAAAAAGCACCACAAATCCAGGCTCCTATGTGCTGACCGGTATGCACAATAGACAAGCCAAACATCTTCTTTTAGTGGACCCAGAAGGAACTGTAAGTGTTGACTCCTGGATGAGAGTAAAAAAGTGTTGATATGCCAGAAAATGAGCCCTATTTGTAATAATGACTTGTTACTACAGACATTTGTAAGGCGCCCACTATCTAACCTTCAATCTCACCTCACAGTGCTTAGCTGAAGGATTGCTGCAGGATTTCTACATGTAAAGGATTTCTACATGTAAAGGGGGCTCTAAGACTACTTTGTCTTATCTTTTCAAGCTGTGCTCAGTGCAGTACAGGGGCAGTAAAGGTATTAAGTCGCTTTTGTGACCCCCAGATTCCATGAGGAGCAGTGTCTGGTCTCTCACATTAGTTAGAACAACCTCTGCACTGCCTGTGCACTCAGCTGCCTGAGGCCCCAAAGAGTTGTTCTGATAAGAGTGATCTCCAGAATATGGGGGCATGACTTCCTTTTCTGGAAAAAAAGGCCCTCACACAGGCCTGGAAGGGGGGAAACAGCATACTCTGCCTCACTGCCACCTGAGAAATATGATTAAATTGGCCTTCTAGCAGCAGAGCAACTTAAAGTAGCCAGAACTGGGCATGAAAACTGGTCATTGGTATTTATGTAGCTGCCCATCACGGAGCAAATAGGTAGATGACACAAAAATACAGAAAGTGGAAAATAATGAAGAAGGCAGGTCATTGATTCAGTGTGATCTGGGTCACTTGGTAAACTGGGTGTAAGGAAACAATGTGTTTTAATACAACTAAATGTATCTCAGAACAGAGCATGTACAGCATGTAGACCCTACTTACAGGATGGGGGGCTCTTTCCTGGGAAGGTAGAGCCTCTGAAAAAGATTTGGGGATTGTGGAGGATAATCAGGTGAACATGAGCCCCTAACGTTATGCTGGGGGCAAAAGATCTAATGCTAACATTGGTTACATAAACCAGGGAATCTCTAAGGGTATGTCTACACTACCACCCTAGTTCGAATTAGGGTGGTAGTGTAGACATACCATTAGAGAAGTAGAGAGTTTATATGTGGCACTGGTGCAAACACTACTGTAATACAAGAGTCCAGTTCAGTCGTCCACAATTCAATGTTGGCAAATTAGAGACGGCTGAAAGAAGAGATGCATAAATGATTAAAGGCTTAGAAAACATGCCTTAAATTGGTAGACTTCAGGAGCAAAATCTATGTAGCTTAACAAAAGGTGAATGAGTGATGTGGTCACACTCTTTTCATGAGATCTTCAGTCTGGCATAGAAAGGTATAACTGGATCCAGTGGCTTGAAAGCTACACAAACTTAATGGGAAATAAGATGTACATTTTTAACAGTGAGAGTTATTAATCACTGGAACAATTGTCGAAGCAAACGCCTCACTCAGTTTACGTGGCTAAACAGACAGTTTTATTGGCCAATAAAAGCAAAGTGAGCCAAACGTGGTCTCAGCAAAGCCGGGCCCAGTAAGGCTGCCTAATACAATCAATCCTAGTATCTTTATACCCTTAACCAAACAGTCTGACGTCAGGGCATCCAATTACAGAAATAATCAATTAAACTAGGAAAAACAAAGCCTTATCAACAAGATGGCGGACAGGTACGAGGCAGCACCTCTCCTCTCTGAACCAGCCCAATTAACACATTCCAATAGCACATCTGTCTTGGCCTGGCGCATGGGGTGATAGAAAGTTCACTCTGGCCTACGTGCAAAGACAAAAAGCTGAAATGGTTTCTGTTATACAAGATGGCTTCTAGCTAAACATAAAATAGCTTCTACACAATTTACCTAGGGTCATGGTGGATTTTCCATCACTGACCATTTTAAAATCAAGATAAGATGTTTTTTCTAAAAGATCTGCTCTAGGAATGATTTTGAGGAATTCCTCTGGACTGTGTTACATGGGAAGTCAGGCTAGATGATTATGGTGGCCCCTTCTGGCTTTGGAATCAATGACTTTGAAAGTTTGTAAAGGGGTTCCACCTGATATGAGAACACGGAAAACTCTCATATCATATTTTCAGTTCCCTGTTCCTAGTGACTAACCAGTCTGGCATGTAATACAAGACTTTCTATTCCTGTTTAAAATTCTAATTTAAGTAATAAGCATTAGCACAACTGATTCCTGACAAAATGGTGCATGTGCATACATAAGGACTCACTGTGTTAGGCCGTACTCCTATTAAATTCAACAGAGAAACTGGTATGAGGTCTGCAGGGTTTGATTCAGAGAAGGCAGCTGTACATGCTGTCATTCCACTTGCCACAGGAGGGCAGTCAAAGAATATTATTAAGCTGTTTTCCATTATAGCTGGATTAATCTGGAGGTTATATGTGTTTTGTGTCAGCCAAAAGAAGCCAGCAGGAGTAAGCGCTGAACCTCTGAGATATGAACTTCTTCAACTCCCTGACTGAAAGTTTACCAGTGTTTCGTGACTCCTGCAAGAGGGCCTTTTGGTTTATTTGCAATGCAAGTTTGGGTTCAGGATCCATGGAATCTATGCAGAGATGGAAGGAGAGTTCTGATTTCTGTAACAGAGTGGCCTGCCTCTTTAGGGGCCAGGAGGACTTGGGTCCACCAGCTCTATTAAGTTAGCCTCACTCTGTCACATCTATGTTGAGTGTGGAGTTTAAAAGGAGGAAAGCCAGTGGCTGCAGGCTGGCTGGGGAGGAGATTCTCTGAGCCAGAGACGGGCCTTTTCATACATGACACTCCAGGCTGGAGGCCCTGGGAATTGCTGCTAGATAGAGAGTGAGAGGCAGCTGTAGAGTTACTTGTGGTAAGAGTGTGACAGTGAGCAGGAGGTTCCTGCAGCAGAGCCTTGACCATGGAGAGACCACAAGCCTGGAAGCCAGAGGCAGAGAGCTTAAGAAGGTTGAGGACTAAGGGAGCAGTAGAGGAGTTTGCCTCTGCTTTTTTTTGGAAGAGACTTTTCTGAAATTTGGCCCATCTACAAGAGGCCAAATTTTGGAAAAACCTCCTCTTTTGGAACATCCCATATTCCTCATACAATGAGGAATAGAATACAGGGATGCCGAAAGAATGCGCCTGCTTTTTCAGAAACAGTTCCAGAGCTTTTCCAAGATTCCAGAGGTATCCCAGAAAACTCTGCAGTGTAGACATAGCCTTTGGCATCAGGGTTTATTAACAGACAATCTAAACAGCCCTTACAATCCAAAAATACAGTCTATCAACACATTGCAGCACCTTCTAGCTAGAGTCTGTCTCTGCTCTTCCCAGAAGGAACCTCCTGATCTTCCTACCAGAAGTCCTTTCTTCCCCTGAAGAGTGTCCAGCACTCAGGCTCACTGACATGGATGAAGGGAGGGCAAAAGGAGCAGTTTTTCCTGACCTCTTTGAATAGCCCCTGAAGCGCTGTACATCCCTGATATAAAGGAAAGCTCTTGCAAGTTCCACCCGAGTCCCCACCCCTTCTTGGGGAAGGAGCGGACCCTGCTCACACCCTTACCTTGGGGCCCACCGTTGCTGCCAGCCCTACTGCCAGCTCCCTCTCAGAGATCTCTATTGCATCCCTTCTTGCCCCCGCCTCATATACCCCTGTTCTGTCCCCACCCCTCTTCAGCCTCCTCCTGACCTTCCCTCCCCCAGGTAGGGTTGCTAGGTGTCTGGTTTTGAACCGGACAGTCCAGTATTTGAGCTTTCTGTTAGGGAAACAAATTGAGAAAATATAAATGTCCAGTATTTTCTAAATAAACTGTAATGTAAATTGTGATGTAATGTCAAGTGTGTCCAGTATTTTTGTTGAAACCATCTGGAAACCCTTCCCCCAGGGGGTCCTCAGACCCCACACATGCTGGGAGCTGGCGGCAGTTTCCCTGGGCAGGGATCACAGGCAGCTCCACTGGGAGCAGCCTGGGGCCAAAGCCTATCCCTATAGCCCTGAGCCACTGGGGCACTGCTTCTGGGGTGTGTGTGTGTCTCTTTTACCTGCCCCCAAGTGTTGCCCACCCTGGATCAAGGGCTGGGCCAAACAGAGACTGGCCAGGCTCGGGGCACTGCCCTGGGAGAGGATCTTGGGGAGCAGTGGGACTGGCCCTGCTGGAGAGTCCCCCTCCTGGCTGTAGCCCGGGCTACAGGGGCCCTGCAGCAGTCTCCCTCCCTCTCCCTCCCCTCCCCATCTGCCGGGCTCCTGCTGCTGCTGCTGAGTCCTAGTGCAACATCCACCACGCTACAGCCCCTGCCTGGCCCCGACTTCCAGAGCCCCTGCCCGCAGCTGCTGCGTCCTAGTGAGCTCTCTGCTGCGATGCAGTGTGCTGCGGCCTAGCAGCCAGCAGTTCACTGCCCGGCACCAGTCCATGGAAAAGACTAGCATAATGCATATGCAGGAGGACGCCCTTAAATTTGGCACTTTTTAGTCTTTCAGTGCTCGACTTTGCAATCTTTTAGATTTCTTTTAGATTTTTTTAAATGTAATCATGTATGAAGCACTGGAGTTGTACAGAATACTGGTAAAATGGGTTAGACAAATAACAGGTTATTTTCTCTGAAGAGCTTTCAGTCTAAAGACACAACTATGTAGCAGCAAATACAAAGTACGGTCTGCGTAGCTAGAATATTTCTTCAAGCCAGTTTTCAGACCGCAGAGAGGAAGGCCATTGAAACCTAAGTAGAAGGTGCAGTACGAAAGATGCAAGTGTCTGAAGGATAGAACTAGGTTCTGCTTCCTTTACTGATCTTGAAGGATACCTCATTGAGGAACTAACCTTATTGAAAGGTTAGGCAGCTCAGTGAGGCAGCTCATGTGGTAATAGACGACTTGGGGGCTACACATGATATAGTTGGTCAGAAAATGTTTTTTTTTCTATTGACAAACACAAAATATTTCATTAATATCGCCTACATTTTCAGCAAATTTCTTGCTTTTTGTTGAAAAACCAAAGACCAAATATTTTTTGGATTTTGGCAACAAAACATGAAAAAAATGGCCCAAAAGTTGCCTATCCCCAGAAGCTTTGGCTTTCAATTTTTCACACATACCCCACAAAAAATGACCAAGTGTTTGCTCTCTGCAAACAATCTCCAAAATGTTTAATTTGATCAGAAGGTTGAAAAAAAGTTGTGCTGGAAATTTTTCAACCGGGCTTAATCAGTGTGAGTAAAAATGGTCAACAGGAAAGCATGCAAAATGGAAGTTTGGAGAGAAATGAGGGAGCAGGAAGTAAAGCGACTAATTTGGAGATGACAAAGCTTCTGTTGACTCTAATGGAAGAATGATTAGACTCTTAAAAATGGGTGTGTGTGACTACAGATATAAAAAGAAAGTATTGTGTCTTATATTCAGTTAAATTTATTTTAATGTTAAAAGATTGATCCATATTTAACCTTTACTTTTCCATGCTCTTCTTTTAAGGTCCGTACGAAGGATCGTGTATTTGACAGCATAAGCCATCTCATCAACCATCATCTTGCGAACAATTTGCCAATAGTTTCTGCTGGAAGTGAACTCTGCCTCCAACAGCCAGTTGAGAGGAAACAGTAACCCATGGTGACATGTTCAGCATTTGTAAGCTATAACCTTTGCAGTAAACACTGCAAACCTGGAAACATGTACATTAAAATACACATACATATGTATCTATCAATATGTTTTCTCGAGCTTTAAAAAGCCCCATCCTACACAGAATCACCTGAAATTTCTTACTGCTCTTTGCAGATATGAGGCCTGATGAAAAACACAGACGATTTCTTAAAATGTAATTTCAATAAAATTGTTCTGATTCTTTAATGTGAATATTTGACAGTGTACATACACACATTATATATAAATACAGTAATATATTTATATTTTTCAAGTCAGTCTGTTGAAGGTATGGAACTAATGTTCTGTGCCAGGTGTTTTTAACTGAAAAAGATGCCCATTGTGATTGTTCAGATAAAAAGAGAATTCAACAGTCTCATTTCCTTGAGAATATAATATTAGAAGTCTTATTTGTAGTTTTATCTAATAAGCACAATTATGGGGAGAACACAGGCGGATGACATTGGTTAAATACCAGTCAAGGGGTTTAAATTGAACAACTAGTATTCTAACATGAAAATTTAGCTTAATATGATTTTTAAAAGCATTATTCAGTGTCACTGATTTCAAAAGCATTTTCTCTTTCTGATGTCCAGTTTTAAATCTTATATGATGCTACTCAAGATATTTGTAACTTGCTTTGACAATGACTTTGTGTGATCTCTCTATGTACAAGTTGTATGCATTTGATTTTTCTAACAATAATATAATTGAACTAATATTCTGCAGCTTTGATTTATTAAATTCAATACTAAGGTTATTTACAAATAGTTCACTTCTTGTGGTAAACAATTAAATTATTTTGACTGCTAGTCACTGATGAGATGTCATAGATTGACTAAGAGGGTTCAAACTGCTTAGTTTTATTTTAATATATTTGGTGCAAGATGATTGTGGTTGGTCAAAGACCCAATGGATAAACCTTTTTCCTTATAGAACTGTGACAAAAAATGAACACTTAGCATATTAGTCTATTTAAATCATTTAACTTTGATTCACTTAGTTTTTATATGTCTCTCTCCTATGTGCAGCTTCAAGTTGACCTTAGCAAGTGATTGTTTTTATAAATGTATTGTATGTTCCTAATGAATATCTTAGAAAAATAGCTATACATTTGAGTTACTTTTTGGCACACATTTCACTAACATTTGGAATTGGGAAGTGCCCATTGAAAAGTGAATTCTGCCACACACACACATGTACACACATTCACACACTTCATTAATTTGCCTTTCTTCTTTTTAATGGACTTTGTCTTTCAGTTATACATATCTAACTGAGGGTCAAATTCATATCTCCATTTAATGGATGCAGTTCCTATAGACTTTAGTGAAAGTTGCATCACAGTAGCTGAGAGCAAAATTTAAACTTTAGTATTTCTAAATCAGAAACTCAACCGAAGTTTCAGGACTTGGTAGCAAAGGTCCTGATTAAGGAATGTAGTTCCATCTACCCTCAAGCATAATACTTCCATTGAAGTCAATAGGACCTTTCATGTCCTTAAAGTTTGACACATGCCTAAGTATTTTGCTGAAATGGGGGCCAAGCTGACTTTAAGATTTGCTTTAGAATCCATTCCTTGGATGGCTGTTTTAAAGCTCCCAAACAATGTTCTCCTTGTGACATGGACTCAGCAAAGGTCATTACTTTGCAAGTTTGCCAAGGATTAATCTCTCATTCAAAAAGGAAACGCACAGCTGCTATAGAGCTTACTCCCTGAAAAGAACTATCAGAGGAAGAACTGACTTTCAAATGTTTTCAAGATCGTAAAATTACATAACATCTAATCTCCCCATCTCAGCATCTTTCACTTCCCCTTGTATTGCCATTGGACCAGCCCACAGCTAGCACCTATCTCCCTGTCCACCCAGTCACGTGAAACTTCCCAGCCCATGCTGATCCCTTCTTGGGAGTCCTCCAACCATCCCAGATTCACCCTACCTGGCATCTCACACTGAATCGCTCATCTGGCTTCTTTCAAGGTCCCCACCAACCACTTTCTGATATATCTTTACATGTAGGTCACAGAGCTAGATAATCACCAGCGCTTCCACTTACAGCGGCTGGACCTTCTCTGCCTCATTAGAGCACACCCAAATCTGCTTTTCTCCCCTTCCTTGGTGTGTATGTGGGAAAAACCAGTTCTCCTAGAAGACTGGGAAATATGGGTGTATCCTTCCCTTCTCCTCCTTGCTGTGATGATGCAGCTGTTTGCATCAGATCCCATCTCCTCTGCACAGAATTGTTGTAGGAGCAGAAAGCACAGGAGAGGTGTCAGACGCATCATAGCAGTCCCTTCTGGCCTGGATGGAGATCCTCAGCTTAGGTCTTCCCTATTCCATGGTGGAATACAAAAGGCTGAAATATGGAGGTACTTAAGTACTACAGTAGCACATGTCTGGCAGCTATGACCATGATTTTAGGAAAGAAAAGCTTTGTTTTGATTTTTCTGTGATTATACTGCACACAATGACTATAAAACTGGCATCTTGGGGTGAGGGCTAAATTAATCAAGGCAATCCAGGGCCTGAGGCACGTCAATGGATTCCCATGCTACTCTCTTTGGAGTCACAGCAAGTGTCAGAGTGAAGATGAATGGGACAAGCACCTCTGTTTCAGGCTCTTTGGTCACCATATCAAGCTTTTCTTAGCATTCATGAGGGCTATCAAATGAAAACTGAGATTCTGACTTTATTGTGTCACTGTAGCAGCTGGGACATGAGACATGGTCCTATAGTGCCTATAATTTATTCTGCCACAGCCGGTGATTCAATTTTTATTGTCTTTCGGTGATTCCACATCACATTTGCACAGTTAATTAGTGAAAAAGTGTTATCTCTAACTTGTGACCTTGCTTCAAAGTGAAAGTCAAAAGGGATTGTTTCTAGTCTGTGCATCACCATTGGAAGGAAAGATTCAACAGTGAAAATAAGTCTGTGCATCACCACTGGAAGGAAAGATTCAACAGTGAAAATAGTTGAAGCTATCTAGATGAAACATTTCCTATCAGAAGATGATTTCCCCCCCTACATTTCTGCAGAAAAATGTAGATTTAGGCACATTTTTTGTAAGTTACCAATTGGGGAAATCAAAGGAGAAAAAATTCATCTTGAGTTGAGATGTCCGAATAAAATGACATTTTTCAGCTTGAACTATTAGTTTGAAACTAAAAATGCCATTTCAAATGTTGATATGTTTTATTTAAGTTGCAAGTGTTAAAATTCTCTGTTTCAACATTTCTGATTCAATTTTTTTTGAATATTTTGTTTTATGAATTTTTCTGATATTTTGACTTTTTGTTTGACGCAGAATGGAAATTTATTGTGAAATGTCCAATTTTTCTAAGGGATCTAGTTACGATTTAGCTAGCAATTCCATTTGGCTTCTTCTGCAATAACAGAGCGTAACTAACTATAAAAATGTCAGTTGTTTGTACATTTTGAACAGCTAATGTGGAGTCCAATCCTGTAAACTTTTAGAGAAGGTCTGCACTTCAGTTGACCATCACTCATGCCTGTGAAAAAGCTCCTTTACCCCCGGATGACACCAGTTTTGCACTGTCCACACCAGGTCTGTCAGTGGAAGGTCTCCTGGTAGTTTCTGCTTCTTGCTGCAAAGGTGAAAGCACAGCCACACTGAAGCTGATTATAGCACTCTAGGGTAGATTTGCCGTTATGTCAGATGAAAGCTTCAGTGTGGCTGTGCTGATTATAGCACTCTAGGGTAGATTTGCCGTTATGTCAGTAGCACACAAGAGATAACGCATGGAGGCTACTTGCATAAATGAATACTAATCATCTTGAGTGTATGTCAAGATGCTGTAAACCTCCTTGCAGGAGGCATAAGGGATCTGTTGAAAAAGGCTTTCTTTCTCGACAGATCCCCCCTCTAGACTTCCACTTTTTGTCGACAAAGTGCTGAGTCGGCAAAACGTGGTGGCCATTTTTATGCAAATCTGGCACGGGATATTTAAATCCCTGCCTCATTTGCAATGTCGACCTGCCTAATCTGCATCCCTCTTCTGTCAGAGGGATGCAGTCTAGACATATCCTAAGTGAAGTAGTGCTGGGGTAGGGACAGTGACTGGAGAAGAGAGGTGGGGTGGGAGGCAGCTCCAGAGTCTCTGTGAAATGGTGTGTTTCCTAGTCGCTGGAATGGATCTTTGTGTGATCCATCCCCTGCACTTTGGGTTTGGCTTTTGTTATGAAAATGATAAAATTAGGACATAAATATGTGAACACAGGGCCCACTCCTGCTCTGGTTAAAATCAGTGAGCAGTTTGTTAATAACTTATGTGAGGAAGGCATGACTATCCTTTAAGATAGAGACTTCATTCTTGTAAAGTGCTGCTAACCCCAAACATTAAAAAATCATGAGTCAGGGCCAAAAAATCAGAAAATGGGCTTAAAATTATTAGATTTTTAAAATAATAATTCTGGGTTTTTTCCTTCTGATGTCTGGGTCTTTAGATTATATGTTTTCAAGCTTTTTTCACCTACTGCACCAAGGGCTACTTTTTTAAAATGAAAGTTGAGATTAGTGTATCATTCCATGAGTCTAGGACCCAGGATATTACAAAACAACAACAACAACAACAACAACAAACCTGCCAAATTTGTGAAACATGTTAAAGCCACAGGCATTGCCACACTAGCATGTCCTCAGTTTCTTCCAAAGGAGTAGTTGAGGCTATTCAGAACTACAGTATTTAGGAAGCTTCAAGTATCTTGCCTTATCTGGCCTATTGTCTATACACATTCTGTATTGTGTGTGATGATGCATAAAATCTACCCATCAGTTTGGTTTGCACTTATGTTACAGTTGTATGAATTGTGTGCAATCAACATGCCTGAGGGACATGTTACTAAGTCATCCTTTCGTGAACCAAATGTTTCACATTTAATTATGCAAGAGTTGTTTGACTGAGATTAATGCAAATTTCTCAATGAAGTTAGCTGCCTTAGTTCTGGCCACTGAATTTCAACCTTGTTTCCAAAGTTTCCATCAGACATTTTGGTTGCCGCAGAAATTTTAAGCATGTAGATGGTACAAAGAAAACAAACAAACGATTAGCTTCTGACGTCAATGGGAGTTCTATCCAAAAAAGCACTCCCATGTTCATCTTCAATAATGTGAGTGTGGGAAAGCGAGGCTGCCCATGACTGAGTGGGGAGCCCAGAAAGAAAGCAAGCTTCCAAAGCATGCTGCCTCCTTGCTGGGGGAAGAAACTCAGCAGAGCTGGGACTTTGTAGGTTGGCTGATGGTGTGAGGCACAGGAGAGGACAGAGACAGTCAGCAACTATTCTCCACAACCCTGCAGACCACACAGATATCACCAATGGGAATTCATGCTGCCCCAAGTAGCACTAACTGTTGCAGGATCTTTCCTAGGGTTTGTATTAGGGAGCTGTGTGGGACCAGTGGTGCCATTGCTCCTGAGTTGACAGAACCAAGGTCTACTGACCGCAGTGGAGTCAGTGTGTAGATTTGGCGTCCCATGTCCTCTGCTTTTTCCACAGTCCCACTAGTGTCCCATCATAGGGCTGCATGGCCATCTCTTATAGGTTTTCTATGAGAGACTGCAAGTTTGGACTGAACAAGGAATATAAGGAGTGAGTAGAAACTAAAGCAGTGCATGAAGAAAATGTAGGTACTTACTAGAAATCTGGCAGGTACACCTCCCACTTTTATAACTTCTGGACCTGGGATTTATTATTTATTCCCATTGTGGAATGGCATTCTCATATTTTTTAGCATGATGGTCTCCAGGGTCCATGCTGTGCAGTTAGGAAAGGAGAATGAATAAATATTTATACCCTTGTACAATTATTGCTCACAGACAAAATACCAGTGCCAACTAAAGTTTATTCATAATGGAATTTATACATATTTATATATTTGTAAGTAATAAATGCCCCCTTTTAAAGCTGGCACATTTTTGCAGCCTCCAGGAAATTTGCAGCTTTATACCAGGACTTTACAACTTGTGTGACTGTTTAATAATGTTTAGCTAAAAATCCATGTTCAAGACTTTTGTCTGGGGAGGCCCAGATACTCAAAGGTATTTAATTGCCCAACTCCAATTGATTTCAGTGGGAGTTACATCCTTAAATATCTTTAAGAATCTGGGCTCCATTGTCTACTGAATGCAGCTAATAGAGCCAAATATGTACATTAAGTGTAAATGTATATAAACAATGATATAACTCCTGTGGAATTTTCAGACATGCTCAGCCTTCACCCAACTTTTCTGTCAATATGTCAGACTTGCATTGATTTTACTGGGAGCAGAGTGTGGTCAATGCTCAATGCTTTAGACCATCCCACACCAGGAATACAAGATAACTCACCTCAAAAGTTTACCAACAAATTTTTTACTTCACATAGTTTTCCAGTTAAAAGTTTTATGAAGGTTATTTACCCTGCTGCTGATTAAAGTAGGGGGAATTTGTTCACTATATAATATATTTGACGCTCAGAATTCTTGTAGCCTGAAAGTTAAGAAATACAGTGGCTAAATTTGAAATGTGTTCATACCTAACATGAAGATCTATTTAACAACCTTCTCCACCAGTTCCTTTACCTTTAGTGAGGTTGAAAAAAACCTAGAAAATATTCATTATACATCAATGAAAGTACAATATAAACTAGTGAAAATAACTAGTATAGTTGGTATGGGAAATAAATTTTTGTCCTCTGTGACTAAGTTTGTGTGTACTAACCAATTCTGTTCCAAGTGGAGCGCTCTAGTCCAAACATAATGTAAATCCTGGAACAAGCTGAGTTTCTTTTTAAGGGGAATGTTTAAGGGGAAAGGTGTGATTTTTTTTAAAAAAATACTGCTGTAAAATTGTTCAAAAGTACATTTAATATCGTGATTTTTTTTTTAAAAAAAAATACTGCTGTAAAATTGTTCAAAAGTACATTTAATATTTATTATTTTTAAAAAACATATTTGATTGAGAATTGTTCAGACTGTATTCCCTGTAAAGATGAGTGGTGTGTGGCAATACTATGGTAATTTTTTGTCCCTGGAACTTCTATGAGTATAGAAGGAAATCTATTGTGAAATGTTTTACTGTGTCCTAAGTTTTTAACTACTGGGTGGCCACTTTGATCTGAGAGCTGAATTGATCCTTAGGAAATCCTTCAGCCATGGAATTTAGTCAGTTAGCTCATTTTTTGATTTTCCAACTTGGTCAGAAATAATGAAATCATTACTTGTATCAAATCTAAGGACTTGCTAGAGAGGTGTGAATAGTGGAGTGCTATAACATGTTGCACTCTAACTGCCCCATGTAGACCCTTTTGGCATGAGCTAAAAGGTACATTATTAACTAGGTATTTTTCAGTTTGTGCCTGCATAGTCTACATGGGCCAGTAAGAGCACAGAACATGAATGCTCTACAAATCACCCCTTTCTGGCAGGCGTATCCACCAGCATACAAGCAAACACTCACAATAAGCAGTGGGTCGGATTCTTAACCCCCTGATTTTTTCACTCACTAATTTAACTAATTTTTTACTTCATTGGAATCTTTCCTGATGGAGAGCAGAAATAGACAGTGAGATCAGAATCAGGCCCAGTGTGAGCCAGGACCAAATTCTACAGGCCTTACTTCACTGAGGAGGCTGACAGAAGTCAGTGAACTTTTCATCTCAGAACAGTAGGTGGAATTTGACTCCAATTATTTTATATATTGGATAAATAAAAAATAAAAATGGCACAAAAGCATGCCAATATGTAATGAATCTGGCCTCACGTACACTGGAGTAACTCCATTTGTTCTAACAGAGTTGCTGATGTACAAGAAATCATGTGAGAACATAAGCAAACCCCATTCATGAGGTTTTTGCCAAATACCATTTTCGCAACACAAATAATTGCTGTTAAATGGCTTGATTCTAAGTCCTGATCTGTATGCAGTTTCCCCCCTCTCGAGTGCAAAAGGAGGGAGATGGTAGATTAGCCAAATCCACAGTAACATTTTATCCCGTCAATAGATTCTATGGAGAGCACTAAAAGTTGGCATTGATGCAGGAGGAAGGCTATTGGTTGAGTATGCTGCAGGGTGGGGAAAGGGCAGCCCCAAATTGGATCACAGGGAGGCTGGACTGATACACATCAACCCAACCTCCTGCTAGTCCTGCAGATTACTTGAGAAAGGAGGGCAGCCCCATATTGGATCAGAGGGAGGCTGGACTGATACACATCTACCCAACCTCCTGCTAGTCCTGCAGATTACTTGAGAAAGCTAATAACTTGTACTAGCTTTCTTGTAGAAAAGTAGCTAAGGCCAGAAGCCATGCCATAAAAGAGTATGGATGGAGAACCATAGCTTAGAGACAGTAGAAGAAGCACTACTGTAGAAGCACTTCTGGTTTTTGGGCAAACAATACTGGCAAATCTCCGAGAAAACTCCATGAGATTTTTTTTAGGCCCTTCTCATGGATTTTTTTCATGGAAAGAGCAGTCCAGGCTCCTAACACAGGCTGAACCTATAGCTCCTGCTGAGGTCAATGGATGAACTTGTGCTCCGATTACATTAGTGTAAATCCCAAGTACATCATTAAATTAAATGGCGCTCTGCCAAGTTTGCAATGGTGGAATTCAGCTCCAAAGGTATGGCCCAATAAGATTTGATCAGCACTTCTTGGGGGTTCATAGCTCTGTGGATTTTCTTATAGCAGATGGAGTTTTGTGCATGTTATTTGTTTTCAATTTCATTATTTCTGCAGACGAAAATAATGCACTTTCAGGCAATGCTGCCCTTCTGATTACAATTGGTTACTGGGAAATATGCCTTTATTGTGCAATAATGTAATTCTGCTTGTGTAGCAAACCCTTGGCACATTTAACTTGATTACTAAGGATCTGCGCTTCTTCCCATTGAAATCAGAAGCCAAAGTCCTTTTGACTGCAACGGGGTCAGAGCCTATCATATCTGGTTGACATTTTGTGTAGGTACAATGCTTTCAAGCATGATTTTTAATAATTTAACTAAGTTTTCTATACAAACACAAATTCTTGTTCCATTTCTTCAAAAGGGACTACTACATAACTTTGGTTCAAGAGTTTGAGATTTTAAAAAAAGTTTTCTAAAATGTTTATGGTACTTAATGATTTAAAAATACTATAGCGCTGTAAGATTGTTGGCAATAAAAACTCTCGTGAAAGCTCTTTTCCTTAGGTGGTTTCTTTTGTAGCCTGGAACAAAAATAAAGGCCCCAGTTCATGAAACAATCTTTGAGAGTGTAGTGTCTATTTCTTTTGTGGCTTTTCTTCTGTGTACAACAAATCAGCTACAGAATGAGGGTTTGATTCTGATCCCATCTAAATGCAACTCTTGGTCCAGTGCAGACCCAACTATTTGGGCTGTATTTTAAGTTGCTCCTTGTTGTTTTGGGTGACAGAATCAAGAATGGAGATCCTGCACAATACCTGTATTACCATCAACACTGCCAATTCTCTAGCTTTCCTTACCCATAAATCCCTGCTTTTTTTCACTGTCAGATGGACTTCCTATACCCAGCCTCTCCTTTTCACCATGGATTTGCAGTGGGCAGTGCTCTCAGTGCCCATAAAGAACAAAGCTAGATTTATTAATTTGTGTATGTCTCATATATTATAATATTGGCCATTACATAGGCATGCACAGCCAGGTAGCCAGCTTTAAAATGAGCAGAGTGCTGAGCTGCCAGGAAGTGGGAGTTTGAATGAGGAATTCCCCACATTTCTCTCCATTGGAATCCACTGCCAGCACAAGGGGGAGAGATCAGGGTTGAGTGGTTGCCACGTCAACCCAGAACCATGAGGCCCCAAACAGTTGAATGGCTTACATAGCTTGTAGACTGGGCTAACTCAAATAGCTTCTTAGACTAAAATTGGGCTTTTAAGCTCATGCTTCGGGACATATATGTGGGCTTGGCTACTATAGTAGAACCTCAGAGTTATGAATAGTAGAGTTATGAACTGACCAGTCAATCACACCTCATTTGGGACCAGAAGTATGCAATCAGGCAGAAGAAGAGTCCCCCCTCCCAAAAAAGCAAATAATAGTACAGTTCTGTGTTAAATGTAAACTACAAAAATAAAACAAGGGGGAAAGCAACATTTTTTTCTGCATGCAGGGGAGCTAGCAACCTCCGCAGGCCCCTGGGCAAGCGGGGCTGGCTCCCAAGCTCCTAGATGTTGCAGAGCCAGTGCAGCCAGACCTCAGTGCTGCCCAGAGCTGGACACCCCCCAGTCTTCAGAGCCACACAGCATGGTGGCAATTAGTAGCTATGGCTACAGCTGGAAACTGGGCCCCTTTGAATCATTAGGCCTGGGATAGTTGCTCCCTTTGCTCTCTCCCATGAGCGGGTCTGTCTGTATAGCAAATGTTTCAAAGCTGTATTAAGTCAATGTTTAGTTATAAATCTTTGTAAGTCTGAAAAAAGCATGGCTTTTTTTCAGATATTTCAGCGTTACTAACAACCTCCATTCCAAGTTATTTGTAGCTGAGATTCTAGTGTATGTATTTTCAGTCTTATTTCACATCTAAGTACAGAGATCCGTACATAACATCTTTAAACTAGAGACATGGGGTGAGTTCAGCCACAGTCTTTTCCCTAACCCTAATGGGAGTTGAGTTGCTAAATCTTTTCTAATTTACAATAGCTGAGAATGCAGCCTTTGGGCTAGAGCTAAAGACACATGCTATTTAAACAAACCAAACATTTAGAAGAACAGGTAACAGAAGGACTTTAGAAAACATTTGCAATTATACTCATTTCCAGAGAGTTGTCCAAAACTGGAAAGTATAACCACACATCACTCCTAGGAGTAAAGTGGTACACCATGCAACTACAATACAGACAGTTCTGTTTATAATATAAATATGAATACAAATCTTACAGCTTCGATTCAATTCATAGCTACATGTCAGTCTCCTATGTCATGGCACTTGACTTCTTGCCACTCTTTGCCAAGGTTTTCTTTCAAGTGCCTAATAAATTGTAACTCACTGCTTTGGGCAGTTCTACTTTATACAAGTCATTTTCATAGTTATTGGTAACTTCACAGTTGCTGCAAACTCTCCTCTTTCTTCTTGCAGATGTCAGAAGACCACTGCTGACATTTTTACACACAGACTTTTAAACATAAAACCATATATTTTGAAAGGCTATTGCTATATACACTGGGCATGCTCTTTAAACACAACTGCTTTAATTACGATTAAAAAAAACCCATAAGAACCAGTTTTTGTAAATTATGAATTAAGAACAGCTATGATTGTTTGAGGTTTATGTGAGTATACTTTGCTTTGTGACTTCCCTGCCACTGCAAGGCTTCACGCAGTGGTGCACCTCTTCTTTCCCTGTGGCACATAATAGTATGGTCTCCTGTGTGCAGTAATACTTTGATCTAATTTTGGCTGTTGGGTTTAATGTGTGGGTGCTGGTGGGGTGGGGAACTGTGATATACAGGCACTTGGACTAGACGGATGGGTGGTCCCTTCTGGTTTTAAAATCTGATCTGTGTCTCTAATGCTTGGTTTGATTCAATTAGGTTGGGATTTTTCAAATAGATCCAAGGGAGTTAGGTGCTCAACTGCTATTGAAAGTCAATGGCAGCTAATCTGAGCATCTAATTCACATGGGTCTGTCTGAACCCCTGAGCATAAATCAGTCATGCTGCACTGATGTCATGCAAGCTATGCTGATTTAGAGTAGCTGAGGCTCTGGCCCCATATATTTACGATCTTTTAATCACAATGGACCAGACTACCTTGTCTTCAGAGACCTAATTTGGAGGGGATTGAGGGGCAGGAAAAGTCTACAAAGTCCTCAGAGGGGATAGGTTTAGGGTCCTAAAGTTGGGAGTACAACAGTGATAGGCAACTTGCAGCCCATGGGCCACATATGACATTTCAAGGTAAGCCAGTGGTGGGCCGCCGGACAGGTTGTTTATCTTGTACCCACAGGTATGGTTGCCTTCAGCTCCCATTGGCTATAGTTTGCCATTCCTGGCCAATGGGAGTTGTGGGAAGCAGTGCCCAGCTGAATCCCACAGCTCCCATTGGCCAGGAACAGTGAACTGCAGCCAATGGGAGCTGCGGGTAGCCACCTGCAGATGCAAGGAAAACAGCCTGTCTAGGGGTCTGGCAGTGGCTTAACCTGATGAGCCACATGTGGCCTGCAGGCTGCAGATTGCCCATCACTGGTATAGAGGGCAAGGTGAACTCATGGGGATTAATGCCACTCTTAGAGGAACAAACTGTGCTATCCCTTCTCTGGTGCAGCACAACTCCAAATGACCCATTCTGCAATGGCTGGATCTGTCTCTAAAAGACGTTATTACAGCTCCATGCTGTATTGGCTCCTAGATGGAATTCCGGAGGGTCTGCAAGGATTTTGTCATGGTCCATTGTCTTTTTAAAGGAAGCCTGCTTTAACTGTATGAGCATGTCAATTTGTATAGACTTTCACAGATTTGTCATACCATTTGCAATACATTTAAAAAAGTAAAATATATTCATTGAAAAAGTACCTATATTTTATATATGTGTGAATTCTTAGATCATTTTTAACTACCTTGAATATTAAACATTTATATTCACATTGTGAGTGGTTATTTGCCATAGTTTGCTTAAAATAACTGAAAAATGTGGTCACAGCCATAGTTATCACGGTATTACTATGTAAACATGAGCGATTTGTGGTTATTGATTGCAAGAAAAAAGACTTAGCATTTTTAGCTACACAGTTCAGGATTACTACTTCATATATTTTCAAACATACTATTTGAAACATCTACATACTTGTATAAACTGTATTATTGCATTATATATTGTAATACTATATGTTGCATGATGCAAACTTCTGCCATACAATTATGATTTAATAAAGAAATGTACAAATATACAATTATTTATACAACATACATGTAAGGCCATTAACAAAACAGCAAGATATGTATAGAGCAATATAATGCACTTTGTATACTGTAAGTAATCTATCTCCCAATTAAACAGGATAGTGGGATAAATATAATAGTTGACATTTCTTGTAGGTGACACAGATGTACTGTAAGATCAGGCTTTACCAAATACACTGATTCCATAAATGTCATCATGACACACAAGGATTTGTGCAGATGGCTGAGTAGTAGAAAAAGCTTTCCTGAGCCGGATCTTTTACAGCATTAAAATCCAAACCAAGTCATGTGATAAATAGGTTCTCAGTTAAATAAGTGGTTAGTATTTTCCCCCTATGATTTAAGTTATGATTTAAGTGCATGAAAACTGAAAGTTTGTAATTGAATCCTAAAAAGCCATAGATGAGTTCTTGACTTACGGAGTCCTTCATTTGCACAAGTTTCCGTTCTGAAATGATGATTTATTCTTTTCAATTATACTTGAGGGAGCACTAATCTGAAGGAAATCATCCTTTGGTTTCTGTGTATTGCTGCTGCTAGACTTACTTCGGCTTTGGTCTGGAGTGGGCTGAATAGGCAAAGATCTAGACACATTGGTCTTCATTAGACAGCCACAAACAAGGCGAAAGAAAGCCCGACGCATTTCCTTACTGGCTAAAGTGTAGATGATAGGATTCATTGCAGAATTGAGGACAGCCAACGCAATGAACCAGTCAGCCTTGAATAAAATGGCACACTCATTTACTCTGCAAGCTACATCTATAAGCAACAGAATAAACAATGGAGACCAACAGGCAATGAAAACACCAACTACAATAACAACTGTCCTAAGCAGTGCCATAGATCTCTCTGAGTTATTGTGATTAGTGACGTTACGGCTACTGGATTTTACCAGTATGTAAATACGTGCATAAAGGATGACAATTGCCACCAAAATGGCTATGAAGATACTTATGCAAAATGCAACATATTTCTTGGAATAAAGAGGCAAAATTGTTGAGCAGTCTGGTAAATTGTTGATACAGTTCCAGCCAAGGATTGGCAAGGCACCCAAGGAAACTGAGATAAGCCAACATGTTCCAATAAGAAGGAAGACTCTGTACTTTTTATTTGCATCATAAGGCCGCATTTTAATCATAGTTAAATGTCTCTCAATAGCTATGGCTAATAAGCTTAATGTAGAAGCTCCCAAGGCAACAAACATACTGCCTTCCCTAATAAACCAGATTGTGTAGGAGAGGCTCAGAGTTCTTTTTCCAGACATAAGAATGTTTATTTTGTAAACAATTCCAGCTAACAGATCACAGAGAGCTAGATTGCCAATAAAAAAGTACATACGGTTGTGAAATTTGTTATTTTTCCATATGGCAATCAATACCATCAAATTTTCCAGGACTATGAAACTACATATGATCAGAAACGAAACAGTTGTTATCCCGATGCGATCAGTTGCCTTTTCTCTTAGAATAAGTTTTCCTGTATAATTATAATGTAGCACGATTAGAGAGTCAGACTCTTCATTTCCTTGAGGGGTGAACGTGGCAGCAAATGGCATAGTAACTGTTGCCATAATTAGTTTGTTTTGTTTTTTAAAAATCATGAAAATTTAATTCCAATATCTTTCCATAAGAGGGAGCTCAAGTCACAGTCCCTAAAGCACTTCTTGGAATTGTCTGGGGATGCCCAAAGTTTCAGTTGCTGTTGCATGTCAATCTCCAGCAATGGCAGTGACGCTAAGAACCTGGGGGAGAACAAAAATCAAGAGAGTCAATATCACTATCTTATGTAAAGCAAATTATATGTACATGCACTGTAATAATATATACCAAATTTGTAAGAACTTATGGGGATATGTACACCATGGACTGGCGTTACAGCGGGTTTGATAATTTGGTATCTGAAAGCCAACCATCTACTAACTAAAACTTTAGTCATGTTACTTTGCATGGGGGATTTGACCCTCAAACTAAACATTAAGTTCACACCACAACTGCTAAGTGCCAGAAGGCTGCTTGTTAACCTTGTGACCTCCATGAATATGGAATGAAAGTGGAACAACTGCTACAGCACAGGATGATGCAACACCAGGCCCACCCCAAGGAGACCACCTGTTAGTCCTGCAACTGGACATTCAATTCAGAGACAGCTACTCAAGTCCCATTTCAGGAAGCTGAAAAAGGACTTGAACCCACTTAACCCAGACCCACACAAAGGGATTTAGCAATTTAGACCTTGCCTTATTGCTATTTAATAACAATGGCATAGCCTCAAGATGCTTCAAGGGGCACCCCACCTTAGCCTAGCCCTATGTCACTCACTGGGGCTCACGCATGAGAGAATGCAGAGTCCTATTCAAATCTCTTCTCCTCAGACAGGGAAAAGGAAACTGAACCAGCATCTACCCCTTCAGAAACCAACCTCTGCTTGCAATCCCTGGCCAGGAACCACGTAGGTGACAAAATCATTTTTCATGAGGAACCTTTTAATGCCCCACCAAAAACGTGAGGCAAGCGGGTAAAGGAGGCTGAGGCCTACATGTAACGTTTAGCCCAATGGTTAAGGGTCCTTACCTGTGACTATAGGGAAGGGGGGGCCCAGTTCCCATTTCAGCATGGGGAAGCCATTACAAAGGTGGGATATGCTAGAGCTCTATAAACCATGAATAAGAAAGGTGTTATTCACCCCTTCACATAATACAAAAGCCAGGGTGATCCAAGGACATGAATAGGCAGCAGTTTTAAACCAGACCAAAAAAGGTGCATGGTTTTAATCCAGACCCGAAAAAGATGTGTGGGAAAAGGGATCTACAACAACCCATATACATGCCTGGTTCATGCAGCTAGCTATAGTGATGGAGGCTGGGGACTCCTTGAACTTGGCTGTTGAACCTGAGACATTTTAGTTAAATATTGTTTTGGTAGCAGCCACTCTGCATTCCAGTGGTTAGACTACCTTCCTTGCTTCATAGTGCTATGGGTTTGAATTTTCCCTCTGCCTACCTTAAGAAGGACTTTGTAGGGGTTTCAAACATGGTTCTGCAGCATGTACCCTGGGCAATGTAGTGCTTGCTTTCTTCTTGTCTGTAGAAGCTGTTTAATTAAATGTTCATTGGGCCAGGAGCTGCTTCTTATTTCCTATGTAGCCCATAGGTTTGGCTATGGGCTTAGATTATAGCTGGTGGGTTTGGGTCTGCCTTGCTGCCGGTGTCTGCCCCTGTTCTATAATAACCCTGAGTTTGCTGCTCTTTTGTCTATTGAAGCTGCTCTGCTTGAGTTAAATGTGCTTTGGGCCAAGCTCACAGCTACCCTCACTCTCTAGTCCAGTTGTTTAAAAAAGACACCAGGAGACCAGAGGCATTTCATATACATTGTGAACAGCGACTGGTGGGCATTTTGGACGGTTTGATTTTTATCAGTAACTAGGGATGTAAGTGACTAGTTGAGACACTACTCAACTACTTGCTCTCGCTCCTCCCTCCCCCCACTGCCACTGTATCAGAGGCAGCAATGGGGGAAGAGCAGGAGTCCATGCTGGGGGGAACCGGCTTAGAAGCACCATCGTTGCAGGGCGGCAGGGGAAGCAGTGGTGCTGCAGGAGACAGTCCCAGACACTGCACCTCTGTTTTTTTCCCTCCCCCCACTGCCACTGTATCAGAGGCAGCAATGGGGGAAGAGCAGGAGTCCATGCTGGGGGGAACCGGCTTAGAAGCACCATCGTTGCAGGGCGGCAGGGGAAGCAGTGGTGCTGCAGGAGACAGTCCCAGACACTGCACCTCTGTTTTTTAAATGTAGTAAGAGCTGCCAGGCTCTTATTACATTTAAAAAGCAGAGGCACAGCAGGAGACCCAGCACGAGCCGAGAATCAGCTGTCCTGGCTGTACCAGATCAGTAATTGGTTGTACCAGATCAGTAATAACTTTGTGGAGGTTCTATGGCCTGAAGTAAAGCCATACAATGTGGCTATGGACATTCGGCACCATGGACTCATGCTGCCAAGCATAGTGTTGTTATAAAAGTACCCTGAGGTACGCTGAATTATTCATAGAACTTTCAAGCAAGCCTGAGTTGTTTTAAGGCTTTCCATGAGACCCACGTAAAATCCCCTGTTTCTGGACAGTTTCAAACTTTCATCTGTTTTACATGAAATGTAAGGTAAAATGCGTGTGCATGTGTGTATGCCTGTTTGTGCACACTCCTTTCCATACTAAACAAGTATTGGCTCTAGTTCTGGCCTGTTTTGAAGGCTCTTATACTATGGGATCATAGCTTACAGAAATGCCACGAGTGCTCCTCTATGTCTGCTTATACAACATTTCACCTTATTTATATAAGCTGAAAAATCTCTCCTTAAATAGATACTGTGATGTTGGCAGACTAGTCGCCAGCTCATGCCAAGGTCTCCATGTCTCAGGGAGAGATTGACAGACACATAACTGGATCCTGTCTGGCTCATTTATGGGTTAATATTGATAAAATAGCTTGGGTGGCGGATATTGTGGGCACGGGGAGGCTGGGTATCCCCAAACAATCTATTGTTGCCCCTTCCCCTGTCCAGTGTACTTCCTACAAGGCGTCAGGTCTGGAGCCTTGGAGTTATGGGGGCAGTGACCACACCACTCAGGAGCTGCAGGTACTGAAGCTGTGGCACACAAGGGCTGGGGCCTTGCCCCACTGCCTCTGCTAGGATTGTGGGCCACAGTGGGCGTGCTTTGGTCTCCTGCAGGGGTGAGGGGAGTAGAACGGAGGGTGGGGTGGGGGAAAGGGGTACACGGGAAGGGGCCACGGGCTAGTAAAGACTTATTTTTTATGGCATACAACTACTGCAAAAGAATTTCATGACTATGGGAAAATAATATGTGATAGTATAAGTATAGTGATGCTTCAGCCCTATGATTTTGCAGGAACAGTTAGAACTTAATTAAATACTGAATGGTCAGCCTCGTATCAGCTCTTAGTTATTAGGATTAGGCGACTGTAGAAAATACATTCACGGATCAATAAACACTATTACAACTTGGGCCTGATCCTTTCCCCACTGATGATGGAGGCAAAACTCTCACTGATGTCCCTGGAATAGACTGGCCCATTAGGTTGCAAAACAATTTTTCTGAGCCCTATAAATGTGAACCTTTTAAACAAAATGTAATCTAAGCACAAGTTGAGAATCACTGTACTTAATTTACAGTCTGCACACTGTATTGCATAAAACTTTTTGGGTGTTTTCTCCTTCACTATAAAGGGGATTTCACATTGCCAACATTCACTGTAAGTGCATTCCCATTAGAATGCATTCCTATGTGTGACCGTAGACTAAATCAGCTAACCATAGATAGATAGCACAAGGATGTTCATCACTGGTCACTTATTAGTTGATGCATATGTATGATATAATGGAAATGTATTTTACAGTATCACAGGTAACAAAATAAATATTTCAGTAGTAACTATTTTGTGAGTAGATCCCTCATTTTGTCATGTAGAACAGCGGCGCCCAACCATGGATCCGCAGACTGGTGCCGAGCCATGAACCGCTGGTTGCTAGGCGGTAGCAGCTTGGGCTAGGGTATGCTCCCCAGTACCTCTCCTCCCACTGTGTCTGTTGGGAGAGGTGTGTCCTGCCCCACCTCTCAGCCAACCAGAGCTGGGCAGGGGTGGTGTCTCCTCCCGGACACAGAAAAGCGGTTTGCTGTGCAGCAGGAGAGCTGTGCGGAGCCTGACACAGCATCCTTAGAGAAGCCACAACCCAGGCAGCAGCGCACAGCTGGCAGCTGAGAGGCAGTACAGGGCTAGGTGACGGGGTCAGGGCTAGTGCTGGGGGGCTCTGGAGATGGTGGGTTTCTAAGAAGTAGGGGGCTGGCACTGGGGGGCTCTGGGAGCAAATACTGGGAGGCTTAGGGTGGGGCTAGTACTGGGGAGGCTGCAGGGATTGGGGGGCTTTAAGAGGTAGAGGTGGAGGGCTGACATTGGGGGGCACTGGAGTGTCCGAGGTGGGGAGCTGTCACTGGAGGGCTCAGGGGGCGGGGCTAATATTGGGGGCTGGCACTAGGGGATGGCTCAGGGGGGATTGGGTGCAGTGAGGCTCTGGAACAGGAGGCTGTCACTGGGGGGGGGAGGGCCTGATGGTGGGGGGCTGTAAGGGGCAGGGAGTTGGCACTGAGGTGTTTGGGATGGGGGGCTGGCCCTGGGGGACTGGGAGGGTGGAAGGTTGGCATTTGGAGGAGGTTGGGTGCAGGGGACTCTGGGTCAGTGGCTGATGCTGGGGGGTAGTGGAAGAGTGGGGGGCTCTAACGGTTTCAGGGGGCTGAGATGTACCCCAGACTCGCCATGAACAGCTGGCTTCAGCTGCGGTAGTCGTCGGCCACGTGGAAACTGCCAGAGCTGAAGCCAGTTGTTTGTGGTGACTCGGGGAGCTGGAGCTTTTGGTGGACAGATAACATTCTATCTGCATATTTACATAGTCATTATTTGCAAAATAAATATTCAAATATGGAGATAAAATGTTGCCAGTCCACCAAAAGTTTGTGAATGGGTTTGCTGGTATAAAAAAGGTTGAGAACCACTGGTGAAGAAGGACAAGTATGTTGCTTTCTGTCCTCTGTGTAATTAATAACGTGTTTAAGTTTATAAACCAGTACAGTTCCATTAAAGTCAATGTAGATGCTCTAATTTACACCACCTGAGGACATGGATTATATATTTAATTAACAGAAAACACATAGGATATCTTCCATTATTCTTAACAATCTCCCTTGTTAAAATGATGAACATAGGCAATATCACAATCAAAGTAAATCTCTGTTTGCTTTGGACAGTTATTGGATAATGAACAATAGTGTTGCCGGCTGAATGATGGATTTCATCAATGTGATCTAAAGACAGCAATATTACCTGTTAGGACCTATAGAAAATGAATCTCAATGATGAACCTTTTCAATGTTTATATTAATAATAATGCAAACAATAATTTAAGAAAATGCTTGAAAGTTAAAATTTTATCTGAAAGTGACATTTTAAAGTGACATTTTTAATGTTTTGGATCATATTATGCTATTGATTTTTAAGCCAAACTTCCAGGCTTTCTGTTTAAAAATCAATGACATAATATTGGCCTGTTCATTTTTTTCAACAGCTGGTTAAAATAGCTGAATGTTACTATAAGAAGATATTGTCACCCAGAACATTTTACAGGACTTCTTTGTCAACACAGAATTACAGCTGTAGATATTCTACAAAATGTCTTAATGCCAGTTACATATAAATGGTCACTGCTTACAAACTATTGGCCTGATCCTGATATCTTTAAAAAAGAGAACTTTCCTCTTATTTGTGTCAGGTTTTTTTTTTTTTTTTGGTTAAATGGGTCTCAATAAAAAAACAGACAAAGAGCCAGGATTCACTGGCATGTTCAAACTGCTTTGTGCTGCAATGGAACCATGAACAAAGGTGGGAGTGAAACAGAAAATCTGGACCAAAGAGTTTGAAAGGTATTTGATTACAAATCCCTTCCTGACACAGTTGTTCAGGTTTCATGTCCTCAGTACCTACAGTACCAAATCCTATTTCTCCTGTTGTCCATAGAATTTTCCAAGTAAAATAGGGTAGATTAGATCAAGTTGTAACGTGACAAAGAAACAGAACCTTCCTATTCTCATGTCCTCTAAATAAAATAAAAGCCATGTAAGTTTTCTTCACACATCATAAATTAAAGAAATAAAAAATCACAAACCCCTAATTTATTCTCCTTTAAATTGGCCAAAGTATAGCAGCCTCATTGCTGCTCCAGTCCACTCAGAAATAGTTTCCCAGAACCCACTAAGTTGCTGTGGGATTACAAAACAAAGCAGCACCACTAATATGCTCTTGATGCACAAGAACGGAGGGACTAGTATAGAATCAGGAATGTGGCTAAGCTAGCTGGTGATTTTCCAACCACAGGGAAATGCCTACCTGCCCAATTAATACCCGTTGTGGTCCCACTATGCTGCTGGAGTGGGTC